TGAAAGTACCTGTGCTCCTGTGCATGTATGCACCCCTCCATGTACATGTAATTAAATATTAAAAAAGAATCAATCTAGCTGGGTTGACAACCAAGATCGGCTGTCACTGTATGGAAGCACTGTCTTCCAAGGAGCAGTGACAAATTGCATAGACTGCCAGTAGTGCTATCAAATACTTTCTAGATGGGATGTTGGACTTGGCTCTCCTATCAGTTTGTTTCAGTAATCAACGCCACACCTGGCAGATCTGTGAGGCCGACTAGACGGAGATACATAGAAGATAGGTAAAGCACACTGTAGGGGTTTTGTGTGAGTTCCTCCAGAGACAATTGGCAGATCAGAGAGCTGAGTGGAGAAGACACATCCTGAATGTGAGAAGTGTTATCCAATAGGCTGTGAGCCAGATCCAGATAAAAAGTCAAGGGGGTCACTCAGGCCAGAGGGCACAAACCACTCTTCTTGAACGGCAATTGTATGTTGGGGGAGGGGGCTGTTACCATCACCTGCAGATATCAGACCCTGGGTTCTTGACTCTTGGATTTGCATCAGTGATGCTCCAAGCTTCCAAGTTGCCTGCTTTCATCTGAGGCTGGGCTGTTGTCCATTCTTCTGAGGTTCCCAGGGTCTTGTACTTTGTAATTTATTTCCTGGCTCTTAAGTCTGCAGCCAGACACTGTGGAACTAGGCAGCCTCTGATTGTATATACCCATCTAATAAATAAGCTCTTATTAGTCCATTCTGTTTGTTTTATTCCTCTGGATCAACATGACAGATACACTTTAGTGAGAACCAAAATCCTAGAGCAACCGGAATAAGGTGAAAAGAGAAAGAGAGAGGCAAACATAAGATTGGGTGTTGTCAAACTGGCAACAGTTTCAGAAGATGTCGCCAGGTGATCTGTCACCTATTGGACATCTCCTGATAGGCCAAATGGACCCAGTGGACTCCATGGCCAGGTCTCCCTTCATCCTTCATCTATTGTCTTTCACTGGCCCATGTTTTTCCAGGGTCTTGGGGCGGGGGTGGGGGAAGATTGTCCTGGTAAAGTTGCTCTATGACTCTTGTAATTAGACACTATAAGCCATAGGAGTTCAGAAAGGCAGAAGGAAGCTAGGACCTCCCTTGGTCCTTCAATGTCATGTAAGACCTATTACAGAGGAGGTCTTCATTCAAAGGGAGATTGTGGGATCCCTGGTGTCAAATGGGCCAGGAAGTTGGCGACAAGGTGATTGATTTTCCAGAGGTCATAGGTAACTGAATACCAACATACAAACCTACTCAGGCTTGCCTCCAACTTGCTAGGTAGCTAAGGATGACCTTGAACTTCTCATCTTCCTGGCTGTGTCTCTATTTCCTGAGTTCTAGGACTTGAGGTATGCACTGCTATGCCGGGTTTATCCTGTACCCAGGATCCAATCCAGGGCCTTGTGCATGGTAGGCAAATGGTCCAACAACTGAGCTACACCGCAGCCTGGAATGTCTTGACCCTGTAACCAGAATCTATATTTGTGAATCTTAGGACAAGAGCAGTGTCATTCAGGCTAGGAAACATCTCTGGATTGTTGTGGAATATTATTTTAAGATGTGTTACATTTGTTTATGCTGTGGAACATTTAATGATGTAAAGTTGTCTTCCATTCTTTTATATTGCATTTGTTTAACTCTGTAAAGCTGTGTCACTTTGCCTGCCTAAAACACCTGATTGACCTAATAAAGAGCTGAACAGCCAATAGCTAAGCAAGAGAGCGAAATGGACAGGGCTGCCAGGCAGAGAGAATAAATAGGAGGAGAAATCTTGGGAAAAGCAAAGAGTGAGGAGTGAGTAAATGAGATGGAGAGGAGGATGCCAGGAGCCAGCCACACAGCCACCAAGCCACCCTGCCACACAGCCACCCAGCCACACAGCCACACAGCCAGTCACAGAACAAGAAGGAAAGAAAGATGTATAGAATAAAGAAGAGTAAAAAGCCCAGAGGCAAAATGTAGTTGAAAAAAAAAGGGATAATTTAAGATAGAGAATTTGGCTAGAAATAAGCTAAGCTAAGGCCAGACATTCGTAAGTAAGAATAAGTCTCTGTGTATTTATTTAGGAGCTGGGTGGAAGGCACCCAAAGAGTTAAACAAACAAACAAAAACGATGCTGGACTTTCCAAGCAGAACAATAACCTCATCCTTCCAGGACTATGAAACTGAACTTCAAATATTTTCAAGTAGCAAAGATCTCCAGGTATCTGGTGCTGTTGTCTTAGCCAAAGACTGGAGTTCTGTACTGGGCAAAATACTCCATCTGGTTTAACCTACATTTACAAAGACATGAAAACATCCAGTGTCATTTAATCCTGGCTGATCCACAGGTTTCATCCAATGCTCATTCCACACTGTACTGGGAAGTGCCTTACTCATCAATCATTTCTCCCTGGCTGTCAAAGTATGTGATTTGCTACATACCTTTGTTACTGTTGTACTGTGCCTGGCTCCTACTCGGTGCTTGTGGATAGTGCATGGAACGAATGACTGAATTAATGAGGGGACAAACGCGTCTATATTTTTGCCCAAGAGATTAACAAAATTATTGACACGTTCCTTTGGTCACTTTATCCTGGCAGTCTTTCCACCAGCTCTCATCGTAAGCGCAGGCCCCTGTCTCAGTGACAGTGAAATATCAAAGTAAGGGAATGGCTGACTGATGTTACCGGTGGGGCACACACAGCCAGGCGTGCACCGAAAAGGAAAGGCTCCGATAAAAGAAGCTGCTGGAAAAGCTCCAGGTTCACCTGGAGTAACTGGGAGGTGCCCTTGGGGACAGACAAGAGGAACTAACTTTTTTTTTTTTTTTTTTTTTTTTTTTAAGCCAGTGAGCTGTCATATCTACCCTCCACTTTAAGCCACTGGTTCTCTCGCCCAACCCCCAACCAGGATTGCCCAGCTCTTGGGGACTTTGGCTGGAATTGTTACACCCCCACCTCCAGAGACCATCCATCAGAGTGCTTATAGAGCGCTATCACCAGATGATCAGGGCGTCTCTGTGGCGCCCACGAAGGTTCCTGTGAGGCAGGAGCAGTGGATAGCTTGTTTGAACGAGAAGCAACCAGCTCCTTCCTGAAGGAACCGACTTGTTGATAATCTTGCCTCAAACAGGAGTTTGCGGGTGGTGGAGGTAAAGGTCTGGGATGTCGCGCGACTTCCCCCCAAGACTCAGCGGAGTAATGAAGGAGAATCCTAAGGTCACGACTGTCAAGTGGAGGGAGGCCAGACACATTGCTCAGGAGGGCTAGCTTGTACCCTCCCAGCCCGGCACCCGCAGAGCCTGCAGGAAAAGGGGGCACCGGGAGGGGGGCGCCC